TGAGACAGTCTTGCTCTGTCGCCCAGGTTGGAGTGCAGTTGTGCAATCTTGGCTCACTGCAACCTCTGCCTCCCAGGTTCAAGCAATTCTCCTGCCTCAGTCTCCTAAGTAGATGGTACTACAGGCGCGCACCACTATACCCAGCTAATTTTTGTATTTTTAGTAGCGATGGGGTTTCACCGTGTTGGTCAGGCTGGTCTCAAACTCCTGACTTCATGATCTGCCTGCCTTGGCCTCCCGAAGTGCTGGGTTTACAGGCATGAGCCACTGCGTCCAGCCAGTTTTGACATCTTTTAAATGGTTATAGGTGTACTACCTAGCACATAAAGTAATTATGAAGAATACAGAAGTTATGCACAAGTAAAATACTAAGAACAGTTTTGGGAACATAGTGATCATCCAGCAAGTTTGCTATTTTTATTATTTATTATTTTAAATGTCCATATATTTAATTCAATATAATTTCATGTCTAAGAAAGTTTCACCTCTTTCAAAAACTTTTCACAAACACTTAGGTCTATCTTTCTCCTGTAAAAACTATTGAGTGGGAAATGAGTGATCCTCAGAACTTTCCAGTACTTTGGGATCATTGCTCTAACAACTCTCCTATAAGCATTCTGCTTTAGCAAAATGTGTGTCTCTACGTATGTCGTAGATTTGTTAAGGCAAGTATACCACATATTGCCAAAGATTTTCATTTGTTACCAATTGGTGTGCAATAAAACTACTCAAAACTCAGTACTAGCAAAATCTATGAGCATTCATTTGGCTCACATATCTGCTAGAGGCCAACCTAACGGGGCTAGGTGGCTCTGCTGATCTTAGCTAGGCCCTTCGTCTGTTTATGGGTTAGCTGGAGGTCAGCTGATGTGGGCTCTCGACTTCCTTCTGGAGGCAGCAGGCTAGGCTGGGTATGTTCTTCTCATGGTGGTGGTGGAAGCAGGAGAGAGAGTAGAAACACGAAAGGTCTCTGCAGGTCTAGTCTTAGTGGCACACTGACATTTCTGACCCACTGTACTGGCCAAGGCAGGTCATAAGATGAATACCAAAGTCCTGAACAAATATTTCTCCAGAAGGCAACGGGAAGAAAAGATTATTTCTGAGCAATAATTCACCTGATTGCAGAGATTAAGTCATCATCATACTTTTCTTCACTGTGCCCAAGTATAGGTTTTATATCCTTAGCAGCCACTATAATTACTAAAAACTAGGAGAAGAAGAGGAAATCTAATTAAGACTTCTGCTTTTATAATCATATATACATGTTTATACATGTAATTATATATATGTGAGTACTACAAAATATATATATTTACATACATAGGTATATATTTAAATATATATATTTAGAGAATATAGATCTGGACTTCAAATTCTATCTTTCTATAATATAAACCATCACAGTGTTATATTTTGAGAATGTTACATTTAGTTATTCAATTGTGACTGAGTTTGAAAAAACATGTATAAACTAAAAAAAAAAGAAAATGCCATTAGATTTTAAATCAATTTATTTACGTATATTTTGTTTTGTAAAAACAACATATTTAGAATCTTTATAGTACTTTTTCAATGTCACCTTAAAAATATGCATATGCTTTTTACAATTGTGAAACTGAAATTAATAAGAACATATGTAAATGCAACTATAATGCCAACCACCACCTACACAGCTACTTCTAGTCCACTGATTTTAAGCCATATTAACAAATCCTATATCAATTAAAATGCTCCATTATTCTATTTTCAAATTAAACTTTCTAAATAACTTCTTTCTTCTTGCATATGGTTGACATTTTAATTAAGATGTTACGATTTATGCCTCTGTGAATTTGTAGTTTCAACATTAAAACAAAGTGAAATGTATAGATTTTAAGACATTTTTCAATTTGATTTTTATAAGATGATCTCTGTATTTACATAAAGTTGATACTTATAAGTTAGTGAAGAAAAAAATTTCTGTTAAATTAATGCAAAATGCTTAAAATAATAACCATAACAATGACTCTGAGAGAATATAGGGAGCTGACACTTACCTGTAAATGAGTATACTTGCAACAAGTCATCTCAAATTAAGCACTTCTATGAAAAAACATAGGACCTCTACCAAAATGTCATTAATCAACCCACTGCTTACGCTGTGATGAACTCCTAAGACGACTAACTTTAATTTGCATTTAACTAACTAGCATAAGTTTAGAAAGAAAATAATCATTTTTCAACACAACTTCTCACAAGTAGAAGCATTTTCAGAAACCTTGAAGCATAATCACTATTATTTTTTACGAGATTTTGGAAAATAAAGTGAGAGTAGACAGCTTTTACTAAAGTAAATTTACAGAAGCAGTGATAAACATGTAACTGTAAAGTTGCCTCTGGATCTCTTTTTCTTTTTTTGAGACGGATTCTTGCTCTCTCCCTCAGGCTGGAGTGCAGTGGTGCAATTTCGGCTCACTGCAAGCTCCGCCTCCCGGGTTCACGCCATTCTCCTGCCTCCGATTCACTGGCGCCCGCCACCTCGCCCGGCTAATTTTTTTGTATTTTTAGTAAAGACGGGGTTTCACCGTGTTAGCCAGGATGGTCTCGATCTCCTGACCTTGTGATCCACCCGCCTCAGCCTCCCAAAGTGCTAGGATTACAGGCGTGAGCCACCATGCGCGGCCAGATCTCTTAAACAACAAAATAATTTCTCTTTTGGCCAATACTTCTCTTCATTCCCTTAACTTTAGCTACAATTTCTTTATGTTGGGAAGGTGACAGGATAGCCGAAAGCTCCAGGACTTTCATCTAGTCCTTGGACATGTGTGTCCCACCCTTCTTGTCCATTTCGCCAATGTTCATTTAGTGCCTCTGGCTTATATATCACATCTTTCAGGTATCTTTGCCAGGGGTCATCGTTAGACATGAATATAAGCTTAACATTTATTATCAGTCTTCCTGAGTTTAAGTCCAACCTTTCCTTACTATTCAGTCACATGATTTCGGCAAGGTACCTAAGATCCCTGAGCTCTAATTTCCTCAAGAAAATAGTGAGGGACACATACACACACACACAATATATATATAAATATAAATATAAATATATGTATAAATATATAAATATAAATATATAGAAATATAAATATATAGAAATATATATTATATATAT